CTCGTCACGACTTCTTCAAGGTTAGACTAGATACTTACTAGATACATGTTTTTATGTACTCAGGCTACACTTCTGTACTTTATTGTACAGGATTTGAGACAGGTGCATCTGGCCACCAGTTCGGTGCGAAGATTTGACCCCCATCTCGAGACTTCACTGTGAGAAGTTGCCTTCTGAGCCGTTCTGTTGTAGCCGAGTCTTATTTATTTTACATATTTCTGTCTATTTTCTTTCAGACAGTAGGCTAGTATTCTTTTGTATATTCTACTAGATTGCCCACATATTTGTGGCACTAGGTCATGGCACACACTAGAAGACTTATGATTTTGGATTTGTTTACATGATGACGATTTGTACTCATTTTCTTCCATTTAATTGTGTTTCATTTTCAAATTTTCTAAATTTTTTTTCTAAATGGGAAAGTAATATGCGCTTAGCCATTTGTTTAAGTGGGAAACTACTAGTTTGATCAGTGTTGGCTTACCTAACAGCGATGGTGGGCGCCATCACAGCCTGAAATGGAAATTGGATCGTGCACATGCGCTCAAACTGTTAGTGCTACTTCACTAAGGTGAATAGGACTAGAGAGGGTGATTTATAGGGTACATCATATGTTTTTGTATAGGAAAGATCCTATTTTACAAGTATTGGCTGGCAAAGAGCCTTGGACCAAAGGAAGAACTTGTGCAGGAGAATTAAATCTTCTCTTGTAGCTTTCATATTTTCTGGTATAAAAGGAGTTCTCTTTCACTTCTTGTTATCACGGCAACAAAGAGGTTAAGACGAGTGAGGTATCATAGAAAAGGCATAACAAAAATAGTTTGTGAGAAAAATAGAGAGTATGAGAGATATTATATTGAGCCGGAAATATCAAAGTAAGTTAAAAAAATTTTTTTTAGTATTGTAGTGGTTTTTGGAGTATTTTACTTGGCCAACAAAGTATACATTTCCTTACTATAGTAATATAAATTGCTTCTCTAGGGATCATGGTTTTTTTCCATATTCAGAAGAATTTTTTACGTAAAAAACTTGGTGTCATTGCTACGCTTTTATTCTTTTTGATTATCGTATCTTAGTGCTATATTATTATTATTTTGTTTTTATTACCGTAACTATTATTTCTATGGGTCGTTTATTCCTAACAAGTTTTAGATGGGGGCAAAAGCCATGAAAAATAACTAATACTTCAACTTGATGAAACATTTTTGTCTTGGTAATTAAATTTCTTTATAATAATCACCAAGTGTATATGTACAAATCACAGCAAAGCTACACTAGAGCCAGCTGTTTTCAGAACAAAACAAACACAAAACTAGTTCAAAGTCTATTCTTTCCTTAGGGATATACGAAGCACACCTAAAGCATATGGCCTACAAGCAAATTTATCAAAAAGTTGTGTCTATTTTAGTGGAGTGGATATTAAAGGACATGATGCAATATTGCAGCAACTGGGCTATGTGAAGGGTGAACTTCCTTTCAAATACATGGGGATTCCGTTCTCCTCTAAGAAGATCACACTAGTCCAATGGAAACTCCTCATTGAGAAAATAGTGTCTAGAATATCATCATGGACAACTAAAAAACTCTCGCAAGTAGAGTTCAGCTGGTTCAAACAGTGCTATTTGGAATTCAAGCTTACATGGCTCAAATTTTCATACTTCCTGCTAAAGTGATTAAAGTTATAGGTGTGTTGGACCAAACGCACAAACAAATATAAGTGGTCGTCAAGTAATAAAGTGACTCGAAAGTCGGATGTCGAACCCACAGAGACTTAGATTGATTGTTAACTAAGTAAACTAAAATAAATTAATTGTCCAAGATATTTAAGAGTGATATTTTTCTATTAATCTACTATTGCGGAAATTAAACAAATAACAACTAAATTATCAAGAATGCGATTTTGTATGACGAGATTTTACTTCAGAGGATATGGGAATTCTAGAGTTGTGTTTGGTTTATCAATCCTATTAAATTCAATAATCACACTCGTTAATCCGGATTATCTATGGTTAATAATTAACCGGATCTTTTATATTAATAGCATATTCTCGCAATACTACTCGTCTGCCCACAATATATCAATCCTATATTCCTATGGTATTGAGTCTATCATGAACGAATATAATATGGTATTCAATTAATGAAGACTATTAGATATATTCCTATTCTAACCGCAAAATCTTCTCCCGAGCCACGTGTTCAGAAACAAGCTCTCTCTAATTCTACTCTAATCTAAACACGTCTTTCTCAAGCATAGCATAGATAGTAAATCGAACACAACCGCTGGCCAGTCAATTAAGCAATTATGCACAGGATTAGATAAACAACCACAAGATGATAATCCGAATTAATGAAGATGTAATTAATAAACATTAATAATCATGCCAACCACAACCCTAGAACGTAGAGTGCTTAGCTACTCATGTTCGTAGTAAGAATTTTTCAAGTATTTTGCATAAACAAATTACAAAGAAAAGAAAAAGGGATGAAGAACTCTATAATTTTCTCCTCCAAAAGTTATCCACGTGATGACCTTGCATCTAGTTGCAAAAAACCTCCCTCAAAGTGGCGTTTTTAGGTATATTTATATGTGTAGAAAAAGACCTAAGCGTGTAGGTCAAGTCCTAGTCAAACCAGGAGACGAAATAAATTTTCAAAACTCGGAATGAATCTTGCCTCAGGCCTGGCGTCGCCATGAATAATGTCTGGTTAAGCTTGGGCTTTTTTTTTGCCTCTCCAGGTCTATCACAAACTATAAGCCTGGCGTCCCAGGCTAACACATGCTTTAGGCCTGGCTTTGCTAGTTTTCTCCTTTTCACTGTTTTTGAGTACACTTTCAACATTTAAGTATCCCTTTTGTTCTACTTTCAACTCCAGTTCATCTACACATAAAATAGACTCCATTACACACAAATAAAGTGTAATTTATCAATAAGGCATGTAAAATGCAAGGCAAATAATGTACGAAACTATGGAATTATAGCCCCACATCAATACCCCACACTTAAACATTGCTTGTCCTCGAGAAATCAAACTACACTTATAGACACAACCTGTTTAAACAATCCTCCTAACTCATCACACCAAGAATCTTTAAAATAGACTAAGCACAAGGGTGTAACATCTTCACCTCAAGATTTGACTCATAAGTAACATGCATTATTTCACAATTCACTCACTTACTCTAACATAGAGGTCAATGACATTACCTTTCCTTCATGAATCAAGTTCCCTCACATAACAAAAGAGAATATTCCACACACAATAAAATTTAAGAACAATTAGGAACTCAAGATAGAAAGAAATCACTCACTCTCAGAAATAACATTCATATTCTACAAAAGATGCACCATAGGTTTTCCCGTAGTGTACTACTTTACTAATCGAGCTCATTCAGTCTAAGATCAAGTAGGACTTTCATTGGTCGTAATGTAGGCTGCGGGTCTGGTAGGATACATTTGGATATAAGAGGGGCTACACCTCCCTAAGCACTTTAATACATATACTTTAACAATCAACTCCATACTTATGTCAAGCTATAACTCCACCTTCACATCAATGTATATTAACTCCGTATATCTTTAAGCACAGTTATATCAAGAGTCACTACTATCACGAAATACTTTTTCACATCAGTACATCTTTTTTTTTTCTTTTCTTCTTTTTCACTTCAAGTGGCTCTTACTTTTTCAAAACAGTGCACCTTTATCTTTATTTCATTAGTTCCACTCAAAAGTCAAACCAACCACCCCTACACTTTAACTTTTACAAAGTTCATAACAATTCAAGTGCTCATGATAGGTGAAAAGGTTTAAATAACTAGTTAATTCAAACAAATGGGTAAGGATTGTAATGTGGTTGCCAANATATATATGTATATATTTGGCTCAATAATGAAATGCATATATCACTTTCAAGACTGAACAAAACTACTATTTCGCTTTGCAACACACGGGACAAGTTCTATACATCAAATGCAATGCACATAATAACACACAAACCTCAAACACACATGGCACATAATTCACTCAGGATTGGACTCATCAAGACACTCTAGTCAAAGCAATAAAGTAAATTATAGATTATACAATTTAAGATGCTTATACAAGAGTCAAAAACTAAGCCTAAGCATCACAACCAAAGTACTCACTATTCTCAAAGCATAACAAAGTCAAGAGATATTGCTTCAATTCAATTCACATCACAATGGCTCCTCTCCTAAAAAAAAATAAAACTACCTACACCCGGTTCAAACAAAACCCTTGGAAAAGAACTGTGGTATAAAGAAAAACCAAGGGGGAATTACTACAATCCAAAAAGAAAATCTTTTTGTCCTTTTTCTTTAGACTTAAATCCCTAAAGAAAACTGTCTAGGAGATCCATCGTGTGGAAAAGTCTAATTTTCTCACTTTTTTTCTATTTTCGATTTTTTTCATAACTTCTTCGATACTACATAACTACTACACAACTACGAAATCACAAATTAGAAGTTAACATTTTTCTACATCATACTTCTAATAATCTAGAGAATTCTCCCACCCCACACTTAAAAGAGTGCAGTATCCCCAATGCACAAATAAAGCAAAACAGTAATGAGGATGGACAAGAAACTCCCTGAAAGGCCAAAGGCCGAAGTAATAGCGGCTCACGGGGTACTCAGACTTGCTCCAAGCATGGTCTTTTGTGTGGGCACCCCACACTTAGTTCTCACCATCTAGCTCACTTTTGCACTCTTCCAATGGATTTGATTCATATGCTCATAATCCTATAAAACAAGAACAAATACTACAACAATAATAAGAAAAAATAAAAATAAAATAAAATAGTAAAGATGGGTTGACTCCCAACAAGTGCCCAAGTTAACGCCGCAGCACGACACTGCTACTCTGCTCAGGCTGGCCGCATTCTCTTCTTCTTTCTCCCATCAGCCAAGCCTTTTTACACTCTCTCGGAAGATCTCCTCTTTTATCTCTGCCTCTTTTCTCAATCATCCTTACACACTAAGCTTGAAACACCACCTCATCCAACTCAATCGACCTATCCGAATCACTACAATTCAAATAAGGACTCCACTCTATCCCCTTCAGTTCTATCACAGTAATCATGCACAAGTCCTTATAGTGCTTAGGGAGCTTAAGTGCCTTGTACACATTAAAAGTAATTTCCTCATTGCCAACTCTCATATTCAACTTTCCTTTCGTAACATCAATAAGCGCTCCACTAGTAGCTAAGAATGGTCTCCCCAAAATAATGGGTACTTCCTCATCTGCCTCGTAATCAAGAACAATAAAATTAGCAGGAAGAATAAACTTTCCCACTTCGACTAACATATCCTCAATAATTCCTTCTTGCATAACTAGTGACCTATCTGCCAGCTGTAAAGTGATTGTAGTAGGTCTAAGCACCCCCAATTCGAGTTGTTTAAACAAAGAGGATGGCATCAAATTTATACTAGATCCTAAATCACACATAGCTCTACCAACTTCTTGTTTTCTAAGAGACAGAGGAATTGTGAAACACCCAGGATCCTTCAACTTAGGAGGGAGTGTACTTTGAACTCTAGCACTACACTCTTTAGTAAGTGCAACTATTTCAAACTCTGTATGTTTTCGCTTGTTTCCATAATATCTCTGAGAAACCTTGCATACTTAGGCACTTCCTGCAAAATTTCTACCAAAGGAAAATTCACACGCACTTGACTCAAAATATCTAAGAATTTCTTGTACATAGCATCATCTTTTTGCTTTTGCGATCTTTGTGGAAACGGAGGTGGTGGCCTTGTCACAATTTTTGGCTTTTCTTTCTTATTCTCCTCAATAGTCTTAAGAACTAATACTCCTTCAGGTCTAGCAATAGACTTCTTTTTCTCTGGAACTTCTTCTAATTCTCTTCCATTTCTCAAGGTTACTGCATTGACTTGAACCTTAGGATTACGTTCAATATCACTCGGTAGAGCTCCAACAGGTCTAGTATTCTGATTGTTAGCCATTTGCCCAAACTGCCTCTCTAGATTTCTTAATTCTGTGCGTAATTGTTGATTGTCTATCAAGATCTTTTTCATCATGTCGGTAAAACTCTCCTCTGCATACTATGGAGGTTGTGGTGGATGATTGTAATTCGCTTGAGGCCTGATATTCTGATTTCCACCCCGAGAGAAGTTAGGATAATTACTCTAGTTCGGATTGTATGTGTTACCATATTGAGCATTTTGATTCATCGGGCCTCTAGCTTGTTTCCTTACGTAGTAGATAGATTCAGGATTCATGGGACATATATCACTTGTGTGACCTTTACCACATAACTCGCAGCAAGTAGATATATTTTGCACATGTTGCATCTGTTGTGCATGGTGCAATGCTATTTTATTCATCTGATTCGCTAATCTCGCTATATCTTCCCTCATTGCTGAGAAGTCATCAAGCTCGATCACCCCTGCTACCTTTTGTTTAAGTTCTCTTCGTGGTTCCCCATCTCCTTGCAAATTATTATCATTAGTAGTGAAATTGTTTAGCAGGATCTGGATCTCACTACACAGTCTTGCCATGCAGCTACCCCCATATGCTGAGTCAAGATTCATCTTTGATGCCTCGTCCAACCCATCAATGAAAGTGTGACCCAACACCTCATCAGTATGACAATGGTCTGGGCAGTCTCTGAGTAGCTTTTGTACCTTTCCCAAGCTTGTCGGAGAGTCTCACCATCTCGTTGTTGAAACCCCAGAATCTGTATCCTTAGTGACTTTGTCTTCTTTGTGGGAAAAAACTTGATTAAGAATTTCCTTACAAGATCATCCCAATTGTAGATTGAGTTTGCGGGCTCCTTTTGTAACCATTCCTTTAGCTTCCCACCAGCAATGAAAAGGGAAACAGTGTCAGCCTGACATAATCCTTGAAAACGTTCGGATAATTGTAAATGTCTGTAATTTCCAAGAAATTCTAAATGTGCCTCTGCGGGTCTTCATGAGATAAACCCACATATTGCCCTGTGGATTGAATCAGCTGTACTATGTACTATATGAGTTCAAAGTGACCTGTGATATCAGGCTTCACGATCGCCTGAGTCATAAAAGCCAGAATGGGCCTTGCAGCCTCTATAATCGGATGCTCTTCATTACCTGCCATCTCTACTGGCTATGGTTGAATTACGATTTACAACTATCTTTCAATTCTCGTTCTAGATTCGACTTCCCTCATCACTCTATGAAGTGTTCGTTCGATTTCAGGATCAAGAGGAAGGAGATTGTTTGCGCTTCTACTACTCCACATTCAAGAGAAGAGCCTGCGTTATCACAAATAAAGCAAACAAAAAAATTAAAATTTGAAGAAATAACAAATAAAAGCTTAACTTAACTAAATAGTCAATAACTAAGTCCCCGACAACGACGCCAAAAACTTGTTGGGATCAAACACAAACGCAAGTATACGTAGTCGTCAAGTAATAAAATGACTTGAAAGTTGGAGGTTGAACCCACAAAGACATAGATTGATCGTTAACTCAGTAAACTAAAATCAATTAATTGTCTAAGATATTTAAGAGTGATAGTTTTCTATTAATCTACTATTGCGGAAATTAAAAAAATAACAACTAAATTATCAAGAATGCGATTTTGTATGACGAGATTTTACTTCAGAGGAGATGGAAATTCCAGGGTTGTGGTTGGTTTATCAATCCTATTAAATTTAATAATCATACTTGTTAATCCAGATTATCTATGGTTGCTAATTAACCGGATCTCTTATATGAATAGCATGTTCCTACAATACTACCCGTCTGCCCACAATATATCAATCCTATATTCCTATGATATTGAGTCTATCATGAACGAATATAATACTATATTCTATTAAGCAAGACTGTTAGGTATAATTCTATCCTAACCGCGAAATCTTCCCCCGAGCCACGGGTTCAAAAAATAAGCTCTCTCTAATTCTACTCTAATATAAACACGGCTTTCCCAAGCATAACATAGATAGTAAATAGAACTCAACTGATGGCCAGACAATTAAGCAGTTATGCATAGAATTAGAGAAACAACCACAAGATGATAATTCAAATTGACGAAGATATAATTAATAAACGTTAATAATCATGTCAACCACAACCCTAGAACGTAGAGTGCTTAGCCACTTATGTTCGTAGTAACAATTTTCCAAGTATTTTGCATAAAAAAATTACAAAGAAAAGAAAAAGGGATGAAGAACTCTATGATTTTCTCCTCCAAAAGTTATCCACGTGATGCCCTAGTCTCTGGTCGCAAAAACCTCCCTCAAAGTGGCGTTTTTAGGTCTATTTGTATGTGTAGAAAAAGACCTAATTATGTAGATCAAGTCCTAGTCAAACCAGGAGACGAAATAAATCTTCAAAACTCATAATGGATTTTGCCCCAGGCCTGGCATTGCCAGGCATAACGCTTAGTGGACCTGGCCCCAGGCCTGGCGTCTCCAGGCATAATGCTTTGTTAAGATTAGCCTTTACTTTGCCTCGTCAACTCTATCTCCAATTACAATCCTGGAGTCAACATGCTAATGCCTGCTTTAGGCCTGGCTTCGCCAGCTTTCTCCTTTTTATTGTTCTCGAGCACACTTTCAACGCTTAAGTATCCTTTTTGTTCTACTTTCATCTCCAAATCATCTAAACATAAAAAAGACTCCATTACACATAAATGAAGTGTAATTTATCATTAAATCATGTAAAATGTGTGCACGGTGAAATTGGAGGAACCAATTTCCTCGTCATTATGATGACCCGCAGACATACCTCCCAAGGCTGGTGACTGTGGCCGAGTTTCTCCTTCGAGGTCTATTGAAGCTCGGCCTCGGGGAAATGTAGACCAACGACTATATTGGAAAAGAGGAAAGTTCCCAAGAGGTGCAGCCATGGTCGATAAACTTTGTCAGGCTAGACTGAGGCTAGTCTGAGCCCGCATCATGCCATCAACTAGCTATCCCATCCCCCTTCTTTTCTTTGTAATCAATGCATTTTGTACTATGTTGGGATTCCCCTCCTATTTAAAGAGGGTCCTTGTCATTTTGTAATGTTCTGTTGCTTCAGTTGCCCCACACGAGATATACAAGAACTCACTATTTGCTCTCTAACATATTCTCTTGACATTATTGCTTTCATTTATTATATTCATACTTGTTCATCATTTATTGCTTATCATTGGCCATAAAGAGCCTCCGTTAATTTCATTATAACTGTTAGTCACATTCCAATGACTTCGATTGCTCATAGTCGAGCCTCTGGATCGACCATGAGGCCCCGAATCCACAAGTTCGAGGCCCCGATAATTGGCCCAACGGTTTGATTATTGCTCTATCCTTAACTCTTATTTCATTTTTAAGTTTCACATACATAGCATCAACTGCTTAACAAACCGGCACAAAAATAGATCACATATTTTTAGAATCCCATCATCAAATTTAATTGTTATTACAATTTTTACGGTAAATAGTTTGGCACCCACTGTGGAGCTAAAAATAATAGTGATTACTTTCTTGTTGGTTTCGTCACGTAACACAAGTTATCTTTCACACCTGTTCTTATCCAAGATCTTAAAATTTTAGGTTGAAATGCCTAACTCATCAGATAGAGGTGAAAACAACTACTTGGAGAACTAGGGAGAAAATGGTGTGGTTGTTCCAGCTCAGGCACAAAAAGAGACCCTCACCTTTCTCGATGCCTATTCGAGGTATAATCAAATTCAGATGAACCCTAAAGACAGGGAGAAGACCTCGTTCATCACAAAAGATTGTACGTATTGTTACAATGTAATTTCTTTCGGACTGAAAAACGCAGGGGCTGCATCCCATCGTCTAGTTAATAAAATTTTGAGAGTCAAATAGGAAAATCCACGGAAGTTTATATTTATGACATGCTAGTTAAGTCCCTACGTGCAGATGACCATTTTACTCATTTGCAAAACATTCGATATTCTCAGAAGTTACAACATGAAGCTCAACCCAGAGAAATGTGCCTTCAGAGTGGGTTCGGGCAAATTCTTAGGCTTCATGGTATCAAACAGGGGGATCGAGATTAACCCCGATAAAATCAAGGCCATCGAAGAAATCACGGTGGTAAACAATATAAAGGTCGTGCAATGGTTAATAGGTCAGATTGCGGCTCTGGGCAGATTCATATTCAGGTCATCCGACAGGAGCCATCTTTTCTTCTCCTTACTCAAAAGAAAGAACAACTTCGAATGGACTCCAAAATGACAAGGTGCCTTAGAAGAGTTGAATCGATAGCCGACTGGTTCTAAGGAAGGTCACCCTTAATACCCAAAACCCTAATGAAGGAAAGGTGGGCCAAAATTGGGAAGGACTGTACCGCGTCCTCGGAGTGGTCGGCAAAGGGTCTTACAAGCTCAGCATCATGGAGGGTGAACAACTTCCAAGCATTTGGAACATGTGAGCATGTCATTTTTTTCCCTATACGAATTACTCCTATAAAATCCAAGAAAATATATTTTTTCCAATTATTTGCCATTTTATAGGATTTTTGTAGGATTTTATTAAGTGTTTACATTTTTGTGCATATTTAATTTCCACTAAAAATTATGAAAAATATCAAAAATACCATGCATTGCATTTAGGTTTTGTTTTTACATTTTAAGGATTAATTGGTTAACTATTTGTGTCATTAAAAATGAAAATTATAAAAATGGCCCATTTTTACATTTTTTACCTTTTAATTTCTAGATTAATGATCTTTGTCTTTTAATGTAGGATTAAGTAATTTTCATAATTATTGTAATTATATAATTAGTATAATTTTCCAATTTAGATTAAATTAGGATTTTTAATTTAGGATTTTAATTAAAAAAAGAAGAAAAAAAAGAGGATATAAGAGTTAATTGAAAGAAAGGGGGCTTAAATTGAAATTGGGTTGTTTCCATACCCAAAATCCATCCCAAATCCGCCCCAAATACCCAGACCCAAAATAGCCACCCGGTCCAGGTTTGCCCCATCCCCAAACGACCCCGTATTG